TAGATATTCAAAACGACGAGTTTCTTTCAGTAGATTCTACCTTCAGCTACATTTAGTTTCTGTATTTCCATATATTGGAAATACAATAAGGAGTGACTGAAATAGCTAAAAAAGAGGGAATATTAAAAAAATGTAATTTTGAAGATTATTTAAATGTTAATTAAAGATTAAATAAAGATTATTCAATTGAAGGTAAAATGTTTCGTGCCAAGTATGGATTCTATTCATGTTAATCCGTTTATTCTATTAGAGTGATTTAACGAATTATGCGTATACATGAATTAAATGCAAAATCATATTTAATTTGAGTTGATCAATCCACGTTTGATCTTATATTATCAGTGGCATCGGATTTCTTGCGTTAAAGTTAGCTCTTCTCCAAGCTCGATCGAGCGACCGATTATTATACGAAGGTTTGTTACTCGTAGTATCCTTTTCTGATCGGCAACTCTCATGTACGGTGTAATACAGTTTGTCGCGGCCATCAGATCATTGCGGATCGCTGTTATGACAATAGCCGAGCACGGTAGCGTATCCCTGTTTTCAAAACACCGCCTCTCCTCGTGTATACCGTGGATGATCCTGGCTCTCGCTGCTGCAGGAAATTGTACACCCACGAGGGCAGCTACGAGTCTAAAAAGAGAGATGCTCGTTGCTACATTAAAATCCATTTCTCTCTCTCTCTCTTCTCTCCCTCCCTACCTCTCTCCCTTTGTTCTCTCAGGTCGGTCCTTCGAGCGATTTCTGAAATTTGTATTCGCTCACGGCGATAGAGAATACTCATGTGTTTCACGACGGAAAAGTCATATTTCCGGAAATACGGAAAAACTCGAGCTCGACATCGAGCCCGGAGATAAATCCGTGGGATATAATTTCACGCTTTAATATATTATTATGTAATATTAAAAGATCCGCGACACGAGTGGCCATATCGAACTGATGGGAGAAGACTGCAAATGTAAAATTTAAAAGAATTTAATTTTTTAAATTTAAAAGATTTTTCATGGAAAAACATTTGCAAATAGTTATCCATTTCGAAAAGCGATATCAAAAGGATGTCTGTGTAATATTTAGAAAAATAAGAAATTATAATTTCAAGATTAATTTTAGTAGTATGATTACAGCAGTATATTTCTTTCCTTTTACATTCGTAATACACTTTTATTCAATTTTAATGAATGTAATACGTACAACGAACAAAATATTATCTGGAGAAAAGTTATTTTATCAAGTCTTCAATTTTAGCGCACTGGTTAGTTGATAATCTACGTTAAATCATTGATTCAATATTATCTTACTGTTCAAAATTTTAATAAGAATAATTACATCCACAACTTGTGTGTATAAGGTATATTTAACAATTAAATAAATTAATTTCTCAATTGAGTTTTTATATATATTCAATAAAGTTATATTTTTCACATAACCCTTTCACGAATTGCAAATTTATTTTATTTTCATTAAGTCGATTTCGAATGGCCAAATGGACCAATAATTCTCTCCATGCTCGCGTTGTAGTAATTTAGCGAAAAAAGAAACCTGCGTCATTCGTGAAAAACGTGGTAGTTGTACATGACGTTCGTGAGATCACCGTCGATCGATGTACTGGCGATGTGCGTGAACACGACACGGCACGGCACGGCACGGCATGGCATATCCTTGTTTCCACAACACGACTCTTCGTCAGGACGAGACGGCGCGATACCGGGAAATTTTACACCCAGCGTCCGTGTCGCACGGACATCTTGTTTGGCAGATCCATCTGTAGCCCGGAGCACGTGTTCGCGTTTTCGCAAGCCGTAACTGTATATCATCGAACCCAGGACGATGTTATAGATACGTAATACCTTCCCGTGCAACGGATCGAGATACATACACGGCGTTCGACTTTCGTTACGACCGATCGTTGTATTACCGATGGGAGACCACTAAGAAGGTAGCTCTGTATAAGCCCCGAGTTCTATAAGCCATTTTTTTCTCTAATGTTAGATATTTGTGTTAGATTATTGTGTTTTTCGAGCGAATTTTCCATCTATATGGTTGAAAGTTTGAATAACGCGGAAATGGAAAAATAAATACCTCAAAGAGAAACACTTTTAAAACAATATTATTTAAAATATATTTAAAATTCAATGAGAACAGTGTTATAGTACGTTCTTATAACATGTAGCTTTTTAATATAAATATAACGTAGCTTTTAATAATATTTATTAACAATGTTAATAAAGAGGGGAGAGAGAGGGGGGGAAGGGTAAGTTTATGATCTGCATTCGTTTCGTTGTTAGATTTTTCTATAAGTATCAATAATTTCAAAAAGAGGTAATAACAATTTTATGGATAGTGCGTGTGTCCTTACATTGCAAATGTATAGTAAGATGAAGAGGTTTGATATAAGATATACAGTCCACTTCCCTGCTTTCCTTACGATCGTCATTTCTCACATTGAGAATTTCTCTCTTGCGCTTTATGGACGTACAAAGCAATTTGTGCGGCCATTAATGTCCTACGGTTAACAACTCGTAGTACTATGTCAATTACACAGTGGTATAAACTGCAAAATTGCCTCGTTAATGTGACTGTATGATTATTCTATGCTTCTTGTTCTCGTAACAATCACGCAAGGAATATCCAAATGAAATGGAATCTGATAGAAGAAAGTGAATACGTTATTTATATTTTATTATGATATTTCTAACAGTTTATCAATAATGTATAAAAATGTATTATCTAGATTTATATGAATACGATTGTTTTAAACATTTAAAAATTTAGTTAATATACAGATCTGAAAATAATTGTTGAACCTTTAAACGTTGATGACAATCTTGCAAAAAGTTTTAACACATTATTCTAGAAATTTTATTTAAGTGTCTTACAAATTAGTTTAATGATTCAAACAAAATTACTTTCAGATCTATATCTAGCTCAATTTTTGAATACTTTAGCAATATTCTTTTTGTAAAAACATAACCCATTTTTAATCTTTAAAATCTTAAAATAAAAAGAATGGGTAAAAAAGATGTTTTAATTTCTTTTGTTATAACGATCCTGATTTTGCTATCAAGTAATTCGACGCGTAATGAGAAATAATAATACTTCGATATTACGTAATAACGATAATAGAACGTGACACGACTGTCTTGCTTGCGTCAGTTGAATAATTAGATAAATTTTTGTCGAGCGGCCGAGCTTGACTTTCGCTCTTCCGCTATATCCGCATTTTGCATCGCCTCGGGTTCGTTCGCTTTTATCCGCGCTTCTCCCTTTTTCTTCCTCTTTCCCTATTTCGCCTGCGGCGGTGCGCACGTAAGTTATCGGTGTCCTGTTACATCCAGTTCCAGTTACACGTGCCGCAGGGCACCGATGCATTCGATATCGTTCCCCCGCGTGCTCTCGTACGCGGCAGCACTTCCGAGTACGCGTCTCTCTCTCTCTCTCTCTCTCTCTTTTCCCTCCCATTTCCCCCTTCTCCCGCTGTCTCTTCGGGGTTTTTCGTTTTACGATTTTAACGCATCGCAAAAAACAGATTACCGTGAAAGAATACTCGATATTGCTGCAACGTGTTATCAAACTTTTACATAACACGAACAAATTATTATATTGCTTTGAGTTGTATTCTAGTCTCTGAATTTCTTCCAAATGGTTTTTATACTCTTTGTAAACATCCAATACAAACATGAGTTATTTATATTGCTAAAAATTAATGCGCTCTTATTATTATACTTTATTGATTTTACATTATTTATATTTTTTATGTTACGGACCATATACTTTTGAAAAAGTAAGCTGTGTGCATTTATATGATAAATCTAAAAGCTCTTTCTTTTTTCAATTAGTTAATCATTTAAAGTTCCCGCTTGTCAAGGGTTAATTTGAGGAATGCGTATCTTAATATCACTCGTTCTCTCTTACTCATACTTTATCGCTTCGTATATCGGCTCCTGGCACTAAACATAAAACCTGTATGGGCCTCGGGTATCCCGGAGGCACAAGTTCCTCTTAAAAAGGTCAATTGTTTTGCCCGGACGAGATTTCTGAGAATTGCGTTATACGTACGGATTAGTCGATCGATGATGGAACGCTCAACCTATTGTCCAAGTTCTTGGAGTGACCGATCGTCGTCTCGGAATTCGCGATCACTCATCGATTTTCCGATAATTTCGGTGCCGCGACTTAAAATACAACTTAATTTATATTTCCATCTTAATGTATAAATTAAAATAGAAATAATAAATTATAGGAGTCAAAAGACAAAAATGTCGAAAGTTTATATAAAACAGAATTACCGAGCGATTTCTATAAAGTTTCTATAAAGTCTTCCTGTATTTATATCGACTATCGAAAAGAATCAATTGATGCAAATTTGTCTATCAAGTTTTACGTGAAATAAGGTTGGAATAGAACATTTTTAGAAACTTATTTGAAGATAAATATTTTATTTTGGATGGGACAATGAGCGCATTCACCAGATTCAACATTTGAGTGAGTGCTCTCTGTTATTGGTGTATTCTTTTAAATCATCCAATCAGAATTTTAGATCTAGCTAGAAGAATACATCAATCAACGAGCGCTCATTCAACTATTGAGTCTGCTGAACGCAACCTTTTAGTATACTGAATGTAATGGCATTAACTTAAAATAACTTTGTCGAACCATCAAAATAATTATATACAGCACTTGAACACTATGATATAAGAATTTTTTTTACAGTATTGTTCATCATGCTTGAGATTTTTTAAAAATTATTTAAAAATTCAACAAAATTATTTTTAGATCTGTATCTAACAAATTTTTAGATACTTCAGTAAAATCATTCTCTCTGTGTTTAAAGTTTAAAATGAAACTTTAATAAAATCTTGCTTCGATTTTATTGAAATTTCATTTTAAATTCTATTTAAGGTATACGTGGCGGATCTTTGACGCTGAACTAATGAAAAGCTTTCGCTTCAGACGTATATGTCGCAAATGTGAGAAAGTGGAATTTCTCATAATCGTTTCAGTGAGCGGTTTTGTGTCCGACCTGCAGAGCGGCTGTATCGGCGGCAACGCGAAGGACCTCGATTCCTCGTCGGTTCCTGGTAGCCTAGGCCGAGGTTTAACGTCGCATCATGTCTCCCTGAGCCACCATCACCACCACCACCACCAACATCATCATCCCCATCACAGTTTGCACAGCCCCAGTTCCGTGGTCCCCATGCACACCACCACCACTACCGCCACCGCTGGCTCGACGCACCATCACCTGGACGACAAGGGCTCGTCACCCGTGGGCGCCCTTCATAGTACGACCAATAGCAATCCCTCCACACCATCCGCACCCTCCACGCCCACCACAGCCACTACCGATAATACTGTGGCCAACGTTGCGACCGGCACGACTAACAGCACCAACGGTGGTTCCTCGGCTGCGAACAGCAAACCACCCTTCAGCTACGTTGCCCTGATCGCCATGGCGATACAGCATAGCGAGCATAAGAGGGCGACCCTCAGCGAGATCTACACCTATATCACCGCCAAGTTCCCGTACTTTGAGAAAAACAAAAAAGGATGGCAGAATTCGATCAGGCACAACTTGTCGTTAAATGAATGCTTTGTCAAGGTGCCCCGAGAGGGTGGCGGCGAGAGGAAGGGCAATTTTTGGACGCTCGGTAAATTAACGTTATTAAAATATTATATGTTTGATTGGTTTTATATCCGTTTCTGTATTGTGAGTGTCAAGAATAGTATATTATATATATAAGATAGTATATTTAGTGGATTTAATCGCTATAACTTTCTAATTTCTGAATTTGCTGTCTTGATTTTCAATTCCCCTGAATTATTCTTTATTTATTTCCATGCCCCTATAAATTTCTCTTATTCTAAAAAAGCATTGGAGATATAAATTGATTTATGATTCTTAATTATAAAGTTAAATTAGTCGTACAGTTATTGTCTATTCAGGATCTATCCATTTGGAACGCTCGCGAGCATTATTTGTTCTTGTTTAACTGTTGATAAACAATAAGGATGAAACGATTTCATGAATGTTGCGAGTGGAACGCATCCTTAAACGATCATACGTATAATTTTTCATTTAAATCCATTTGCATTCTTATATACTATTAATGGATTTTCACTGTAAATTTCTACTTTTTGCGTCATCATAGATCCTCAGTACGAAGATATGTTTGAAAATGGCAATTACCGAAGACGAAGACGAATGAAGCGTCCCTATAGAAATAATCCGTATCCCAAACCACTCTTCGGCGATCCGTTCTCTACGACCCACATGCTAGGCTCTAGGAACATTTTCGGTCACTCACCCCCTTCATACGCCCCCACTGCTTATTCGCGATACGATACAAGGTATTGATATTTTTCAGAATGTCATTTGCCAACGCATCTTCAGTTCGCGACTGGAAATTCTCGTTTAATAACATTTAGATCATAATTAATTCAAAATGTATATATGTATCTTAATTATAATTCCTCCTCGAATTAGTACTAAACTTTTTTTTATTATAGTGCATGGAGTCTCCAACAGCCACAACTCTCATATAGCCATTGCCAATCGGTGAGTTCTCATACTACAAATCGTTACATGTGTCCAGTCAATGTATAAAAAATCTTTTATATCTTATACCATATTAATGCAGCGTGAATCTTTACAACGAATAGAGGTACTCTGAGCATTTTTTAAATTTTATTATCATGGAGAATTGTACTCAGATAAATTACATTTCAACACCTTTCTTGTTATTTTACAATACTTTAGATTCGTCTCTCGCGAAATTAAGAATTATAGCCTGTATAATATAACTTTCTGATATGGTAAACGGTACAGTCGAATACTTAAATATTACAATTCGGCCGAGTCATTGGAAGTCTCTTTGATCACAGCTACAGCCGCAATTGCAGCCGATGCAGTCAATGCAAATTCCGACTATGAACGGCTACAGCCAACTGGGTACCTCGTTAAGTGAGTCACTATTCTCGCACTTTGTACCTTCTTTTGTCGAGCGGGGTAATGCTGAACGACCAGACAAAGCGTTTCAAGGCAATTACCTGGATGTTCCAGGTGGAACGACCGGATCGCCCGGTTCCATGGGCGGCGGCTCCTTCGGTAGCAGTTTCGCCGCGTGCGGCAGGAGGCACGATTCCGCGATGCCCGCAGATGCAATGTCTGGGAGATGTTATTGGCCCGATAGTGAGTGTAATTTTAATCAAAATTAAAAACCTAAACTTCCTAGCGTTTAACTTCAAAGATCCAGTTTGTGAATTTCTGTGCGCGGGTCGCAGAATATGTACATCTTTCTTAACAAAATGAAATGTGTAAAATTCTGAAAGATTGCAGATTTTTTATATTGCATTTGAAAGTAATAGAAAAAAGTTTGGCGGGGATTTAGACTTTCTATAATAGATCAAACATTATTTCAATAAGAAATAGATGTTTTTAAAAGATAATTAAGATAAAATGAAAAAATTTGTATTTAAATTATAAAATTGTACAGTTAATTATAAATGATCTTTTTTATTGAACTGCTTTATATGTATTATATAAGACAATATTCATTTTAATACGGAAAGTATTAGGTTTGCAATTTAATTTCCAGCTCCTATATTGAATCTATTACAAAACTTATTCAAATTTGAATCTTTTTCTCGTCATACAGTTATTATGAAGTGTCATCCTTAAGCTTTAAAATAACGTATAATAGGTGAAAACTATGTCGTTCGAAAAGCATTTGAGGCACTTGCCTCCTTTTCACGTTCCAGCTGAAGAAAAATGCCGCGTAAGCTTAAGAAATGATTTGCTCGGCTTTCGGCGAAAACTCTGTGTCATACAGTACATGTGAAAAGTGGTTCCAAAGATTTCGTGAAATCGTGATAGCAATTTCAATTTTTTTCATCATTGAATTCATCAATTCGAAACAACCATCTTTTTCCGAAGCGGATCTGACAATTGCTTGGAAAAATGTATAGAAAGTGAAAGGGATTACTTTGATTAAATTAATATTCATTCTTTTATAATTTTAAATCGCAACTTGGTAAAAGAGGCCGAGAATTAACTTTCAGTTCCAGTTACTCTTTGAAGAGACGATATATCCTTAAATATCGCGTTATATATACAATTCTTTTTAACAATCTTTATCTAATTCGTCTGACGATTGTTGCAGTGGTAAACGTGAAGGAGGAGCCCGGGACCAATACCGTGTCGACCAGCGGCGTCGGCGTCGGCGTCGGCGTCGGCGTTGGCGTTGGCGTTGGCGGCGTCGGCGTCCCGTCCGGCATGATGGCCACCGCGGCGTCGTCAGGCGTCTCAACGACGGGATTTTCGCCGATGGAGTTCCAGACGCGTTCCAAGTGCTTTATGTGAACACGAGAGGAACCACCGTTAAATAGTAGCGCGTGCTACGTGACGAACCGACGTCGCGAGGAACGAGGGACGATCCTACGTGATCTATCGCGCGACGCGTTAGATCGCAATGAGATGGATTCGCGATTCGACGAACGGTGAGCGATGCATGAAACGATGCCCTGAACATATTTCTCGATGACGCGGTAATGCGGATTATATTTAACAAATATTATCGAATAATATCTGATAATCGTTTAGCGATGTTATTGGATGGTCGTTCGCGAATCTAACCGCGCGGGTAAATACAACGTAAACGTTTGTGAAACTCGTGTAATTGCTATTGTTGTGTTGATTCGATGTTAAAGGTACGTACGTCGTGCGTCTTTACTGCGTAGGTGCGCTCGTTCACGCTCGTTAAATATACGTAAAGCGATACACAATACGGGGGCAATTGCCTCTTTTATTATGCGAGATATTACGACACGATGCGATATACGCGGCGATTCTTTAGCGATTCTGGAATCTTTTTCACGAGAGTGAAGGCCGCGATCGCGCTTGTTGTAGTCCTGATTGGTCGAAGTGAACCGCCGCGTGAGATGAAAACAGGAACGATCTCTCAATTTTATCCCCATTTTTTCGACGATATAACACGTTTGAAAATACCTCTATCTTCGCGCACATCGTTTTCGACTGCTAGACAGTATTTAATATCCTGACGAGAGGGGTGAGAGGCGAAGGAAGTTTGCCCACAATGGGAATGAGATGTCGTTTCGATTGCGATAGAAAACGCGTTCCTTTTTCGATTAATTTCTAATCGATATTTACTCAGAAATTTCCTTATTCGCGAATTCAAAGTATTTAACTCTTTAAGGGGCATCTAAAAAATATAGAATAGCAAGATTTCATTGGAATCCATCAGATAGAAAAAATGTGAAAGAGTTAAAATGTATCTTTGCATTTGAGAGATTACATATGTAGTTCGAGGGATTGTGTGAACATGTATAATTCATACAGCATTATTTCAGCTTAACCGTTTAGGACCTTTATTTCCAATTCATTGTATAATCACATTATGGTCTTACAAGATATTTTGCAATGTATATGTTCGTATAAAGTTAATATAATTGAACCTTTTTTTATTTTAAAAATCTAAAGAATAAAATTATATGATTTAAAATTATGTCAAGTTAGAAACATTTGCTATAAACAATTTTTACAACGTAATTGTTTTTTCTATTGCGATACGAAACGGTAGCTCTTTATTAAAATACCATCCATTGTAAGAAGAGGGATGTAGAATAGAGAAAAGCCATCTTGTTGTAGAGAGTTCTTTTATAATTATATATATATATATATATATAGAATTTAATAAATAGAGCTATATATATAATGTATATGTTTAATCGTACAAATATGTACATTTTATGTGAATTATGCTGATTAGAGCGAAATTATTTCCGCGCCGATTACGATGTAAATATATTAGCGTAGATATAGCAACGATTTTAAGAAACTTATACTGTGAATTAGTCTTATGTATAAATCACTAAAATTGGCTTCTAATAAATGTAACGCTTCGTTCGAGTTATTACACACCAAGATCGTGTATAAGCACTCTGTGGCAGCTACGGTACAGTGGTTCGGTTTGAAAAATCCACGTGTAAAAAAGTGTAACAGTGGCTATATAAGAGATGAAATAAATCTTAATTATTTATCATTGAAAAATATACAATTCTCTTCCAGGAAATTACTCGAGAGAATTACTTTCAATATTAAACTGTTTACGTTTAATGAAATATTGGATATTTTAAAATTTATAGGAATCTATTTTAAGGTATAAGATTATTGTACAAAGTTATCGAATTCCAATTTTAAAACATCATAAAGACTATTTATAAGAACTGCAATTTCACGCGTAATATTTAGTATGACATTTATCTAATGCATCGCGTTATTATGTAAATATTATACTAAATGTTACGTATTATATTAATTAAATGTCGTATTAACTTACACAACGTGATGTGTTATTAGGTGAATGTCACACTAAACATAATGCATTTAACCATCCGGAACTGATAATCTATTAGACCCATTCAATTGTATATCTTTGAAAAAACAATTCAACTTTCTTTATGTTACATCTGCAATAAATTCGGATTACTTTTATTACAATTAATATTCTTTTTCATACGAGTTTTATACAAATTATGTCACTTCGGTTTTTGGTAATTAAGTAGTACCTTTTAATTGACATAAATTAACAACAATAATGAAAATTTAAAATACTAAAAAAGTACAATGTAATAACTCCTTTAATTAATCAAATAAAGTACAAAAATGTATTAACGAGGCTTAGGAGTCAAAACCGCAAAAACTGTTTAGCACAAAATTTCTTACAATATCATTACGTCTGAAATATTTCAAAATAGATCTTGCGGTTTTGACTCCTAAGACTCGTTAATATATTTTTGTACTTTATTTGACATAAATGAAATGACTTTACGAGCCCAGTATTAATAATTGCGTTAAATATTTTGACATTGATTTCTGAGGGTTAAAATTTTGTATTTTAAATATTCGAAATATTTTTAGCCCCGCCAGCAGTGAAATTTTCACTCTTCATTCGTAACCTGGGTCTTCAAACTTCAATGTAAATATTTATATTTTTTCCAATAGTTTAAAAATCTGAAAAAATTATTATCTATATATATGTATATTTGTAAAAAAAAGTGTTAACAATAAGTTTTTATTATTATAGAAGTTAATTGCATTTCGCTTGTTTTTTTACAAATTAAAATTTATTTATTAGAGTGTCGGGGTAACTTCGTTAATGAGAATATTTTTGTATATCACATAAGACGTTAAAATATATCTGATCCAAAGAAAAACGTTCGAAAAACGGTTGTCCGAGAATAGTTTCTGTATGTTTCGTGCTACATGCATCCTAGTGCAGGTCCGCTACACAGGATGTCAAGGAGACCAGTGTATGAGAGGAGGGCGAGCGAACTGGACCAATGGCCGACGAATGTTTTGCGAGCACGATGTTTTGCAAAACAAACCGTGCGCGCTGTGGGCTTTAATATTCCTCGTAAAATCTGAAACGCTACGAGCGCGGCCGCGTCAACACTGCGCGTGCATCCGACGCGGGAATAGCACGTGCATCTTGTTTTCCGATCTAGGAACCGAGAGAGCACGTCGATGACGCCGTTACGGCATTTCTCCTGGAGAGACTGCAAATAAATTTCACCGGATATACGTTTGCAAGAAACGAGTCTTCGACGCACGTCAAGAGGAGAATGGCGATATATACAATAATATATTAATTTTTTTTGTACGGAGATAAAGCGAAGGTTAAATGAAAACTGCGAGGAATTGACGCAAATATTTTGTTGAAAGCTGTTTTGTTATACTCAACTATATTCGTACTCTCTGAAACCTTTAGAGTAAATTTGACTCTGAGAGAAAAGTGAAATCTCACTCTTAGGGTGGTATTCGTAGTCGGATTTTAATTTAGGATCATCTTAAGTACAATTTTAAGATTGTCATGGACTAATCAAAGGGCCGTAAGCTCTTGTTTTATAAGAAAAAGTAGAAAACATACTTTTGTTTACATTTTTATATTTATTATTCTACGTTTGCTAACTAACTTTTTTTACTTCCTTATATCATAAGAAAAAAGAAAATTAAAATTTTTCCAGAAAGAGAAATGCAATGAGATTTTAATTATATCTTTCTAATCATGTTAAGAATTTCTGAAATCTCTGAGATTTTTGCAATATCAATTAGAGTCACTATTTTGTCGATTATGTTTTGTTTCTTGTAATTTCTAATAATTTTTTTCAAGTTCGTGCCTCTTGACTGATTTAGAACTCGAAATTTGAGAGGCATCATTTCATCCTTCTTCGAACTCTCGTATAAGTCCTCGCGAATTCCCTTCGTCTCTCAGAAACGTATGCTTTACATAACGCAGTTTGACACGCTCAACGTAAACATCAGATCCATTTTATCCAAACAGACACGATAGTGGACTCAGCTAGCCACGCAATATGTACTACAAAACGCGACTAAAGCGTATAATAAAATATCACGTTAATTATCACACGAGTCAACTATGTTACATGCGCGTTTCGGTAATCCGGTATCTCAACACAGCTTGGCTCAACTTAAAATTAATAATTATTATTAGTAATTAGTAGTTCAATTATTAATGATCCCCAAAGCGGTGTTAAAGATTTAACAAAGTACTCTTAGCGGATTGTTTTTATTAAACTATTTATTTATCGTTATATTGTTATATTTAGTAAATTATGAGTTTATATTTATTTTATATTGTTAATTGTTTTATGTATGAGGATTATTATTTTATAGTAAAAATTGTTAAGTTCTGCAATGAAAGTTTGCGATTCACTGTCTGAAAGGATCATCTTAGAACAAATCCGAGGTAAATTTGTTGCCCGGATCCGGATTGCAACGTACAGGAGAGAGCGTGCGGTGAATGACGCATAACAGCTGTACGCAACTTTAAGTCGTGCTCGTAAAACGAACATGTATGAATAACGAGTGGTCTCCGGAAAAAAGCGATCTCGCTTATCGGTTGTATATATGAATGAGTAAGTAAGTAGTTTTTTTTCTAAGTTGCTGGAGGTAATCTTAATCGACTATTCAACAAAGTAAATTATTAATTTAATTTAATAAAATACCATTTCATATCTTTACGAAGTAATTTATTACATCATTTTATTATGTTTTATTTTATTTCAAATTTATTTTAAATTTAAACGATCTATTGTTTATCAGAATTTAGAATGGAATTCTATTTATGGTTTACAATTTACATGTTCCGTAATACGAAAAACATTCGAAGAATTAGAATGCAAACACACGTAAAATATTCATTAGGAACGTACATTTTGATCAAAATAATTACGCTCATTTACTACAATCATATTATTATTTGTTTATAAAATTATCACAATAATTTAAAAAATGTCATGTTTGAAATTGCTTACAAAAATAATTAAAATATAAAGAGATCAGAAAGAACATACTTTTATTTCTCACAATCATTCATTTTACACCTGC